GAAATTCTGCCTATAGTTCTGTTGAGTATCAGATTTGTATTAAGAAAGATATAAATACTACTTGTACCAAACTTGTTTATGGTACCACACTTAGATTACCCTCAGATATGCTGAATGCTAGTAATTTCGTATCTCCTTCTGAAACTTATGTATCACAGCTTCGACCAGTCATGCATTTAGTTAGACCTACTGCAACCTCTAGGCATGTTCAACCATCAATTGATGTACACCCAGCACTTCAAACCTGTTTTCATGTATTTCTGCATATCGATTCTGTTAAACCGCCTTTAAATCCACCTTACACTGGTCTTTATGCATGGTTGAACAAATGAGCAAAAGTTTTATTATTGAGGTAAATAAAAAAAGATTACAGTTTCAATTGATCATGTAAAACCAACACATATGTTGCCAGAACGTATAGAATCACCTGTAATTCCTCAGTTTCCACAGGAAGTCTGTGAAGACTTAAAAATTGTTCAAAAAGTAGTTACCCGCAGTGGATGTAGTGTTCATTTTCCTGAAAAACTAATCACTGTATTATGATTGTAGTTTTCCACTGTGGTTTGCTGCAAAAGTCATAGGGTATAAATATTTGATTAATTTTTTTACATACGTATTGAGTTAAAAAAAAAAAAATCTTGTTAACTTTTCATGATTTCTGTTTAACTAAGTATGCATTGTATGGGTAAAGATTTCAATCAGAATTTAAGTGTATTATTACTATTTATATATTTCATATTTCTTCTTTTTTCTACGGGCATTTTAAAGTGCAACTGTTGTTCAAATGTGCATATCTTAAATTGGAATTTTACCCCTTTTGTGTTGTGACTGTGTCACTGGGGTGATACTCTGTGGCAGTCGGATGTTCAGCTGCATGCGCTACTAGACCACGTCATGTTGTGTTTGTAAAAACTGCTAACGCTGCAGTGAACTCGCCCTTAGCTCAAGCATAGGATGTACAAATTTTAGTTTAGTAGTTTTTTGTTATGTTATTTCGTTATGTTATGATAGTTGTGTTTAAAATTATGGTGAGTGTGAATAAAAGTTATGTTTAATGAAACAGTCATGTCTTTTAAGGATATACAACTAAGCCACAAAATGGGTAGCCAATCGAAGCTTAGTGAAATGCATTTAAAATCTCACAATGAAGTAACATAAAAAAGGAAATACATGTTATCACATATATGCACTACAAAAAGGAACTATTGATTTACCATATTTTAGAAATTTCTGCGTCTTTAGTCTGTGGCACACAAAATTCCTTAACAGCATCCAAAAACTTTATGCATATTTAGAATATGCATACTGCTGTCACTACATAAATTCACAAAAATAAGAATAAAAAATATCCTCCGTAGTGCCGGATTGTCGGTGGCATTTCTTGTATGAACCTTTCTTGCGACGAACCTATTCAAAGCCATCTGAACGATATTTACGTTCAACCATACGTGTTTGGGTTGTACAAACAGGACATTTATAATGGCTACTAAGTAAATCTTCATTTACACTCAATCAATGCTTTTTTTCCCTTTCACTCTAAATTGTACAGAAACTTCAGATTAATCTCATCACATATAGCCAAATTAATCTCATCACATATAGCCATTTTTTGGTGTACAGCACAAAATAAGCTATGTACTTCCTAACTGACGTCCAGTGTAGAAATAAGCCCTAACAAATATTTTCCCACGAGTCAAATTCACTGCGATCACGCAACCAATCGCATCTTAATAGGGTTTCCGTAACATTTAACTACTCATGTTAACATAAATGAAACAACAATTTGGCTATAAATGAAACAACAACTTGGCGATAAATGAAACAACAACTTGGCGATAATCCAAGGGGCACCCTAAGATATAGACTAACCCTTCAGCTGACAGTGTACTGGCTAAAACTAACAGGCATCTTTCTTTCTATCGTTAGTAAGTCTTCTTACCGAGATGTCACAAACAGGAGATATAGTTCAATCAACAGTGTAAGGTTATTGAGAATGAGAAAACTATAAAATCTTTAGTACCACAAACAAAACATTTGTATGATATCAACAGAGTTTCAGATTTTTATTATACTTTTCAAACTATAGAACAATTACTGTTCTTATGATCTGAATTTTTTCATATTATTTATATCTCCCCCCCTCCTTTTTTGTTTCTTTAAAAAAGAGGAGTTGCCTTGTATTTGTGTTGTAAATCAGATAATCCATGGTAATATTAAATATAAAATATTTTTTTCTTTCTGGTTAAGTGCCCCAATGGTAGTAAACATATTTGTTTTTAAATTGATGCTGGGGTAACTCCCCCTTTTTTTTCATAGTTGCTGGATCTTAATTTGATCAATAACTTTTAAATTGAAACAGGGAATGAATGCAAAGGATTCAACATAAATTAAAGCTGTGCTTTCATGCTGGTGTCTTCTGGTAGTAGTGAATGTGAACTTGCCTGAAAATGCATGAGAAGCATCCATAGTACCTATTAAAAATATAAGCTCCCCAGTTGATATATTGTTTTCTGTATTTTCGTATATGTCTCATGTTCATTTGTGGTAGGTGAAAGCTTAATGATTTTTCTCCTTTTACTTCTAGAGATCTTGCTCATTTACTCAAAGTATATCCTTCATTTAATATCTAGACTTGGAACATACTTTCTGCCATGAATACACTGAAATATTCAAAAGTTTTGCAGTTTGAGACTAAGTAAAGCAAAGGTGCTATTTGTTGCTAACACTAATAGAGGTGTCTCCATTATGGTAATGTCTCAGAACTTAATTATGTTGTTGGGGATGCATATGTTGTTTGATCAATTTGTCCTATTATATTTCTTATCTTGAAACAAAAATGTCACAGTACCGTTGTACTATTGCTAATAGTTTTTTAATTCAGTGACATTCACTTTAATGTCCCTTAGTGCGTCAGAGTTTGCATGAACATCCCTCACCATATTGGAGCTTAAAATATACAATGTAATGTGACTTGCCCAGTACATGTAATTTTCAGAATTAACAAATTTGTCACTTAGTAGAACACAGTTAATTTGCAACACAGCTGCACTTTTAAATAATGTGCTGTGCACTTATGCAGGATTGTGTATTGTACTGTTTGTTTGTAGAAAAGATTTAGTTTATGGACTTAGAACAGTGACAGCAAAACTTGTAAGCTTGGGGTTTCAAAATTAAAAAAGAAACCTAGCTTAACTCTAGTGCTGTGTCGAATATAAAATCATCCATATGGCAAGAACGCATTAAAACACTTAAGGTAAGCGCAACATATGTTGACACTGACAAGACCATTACAAGAGATAAATATTTTTATATTGTGCAATTTCTTGTCTCTGCTGATGGCTCTAGAAGTGTGAGTGTATCACCCAAAATAGATTTCCCATGTCATTTATGACACGCATGTGATAGGTTTGCCATCACTGACTTAGAACATGCGTTTAATCAAGTCTTGATACATGCCTGTTAATTGAAAGGTATTCAGTATAAGCAAAGGCAATTCAATATGAGGCAGTGGAAAATCTGCACTTCTTAATTAGTTTCAGTAGCATGGCACCACCATTGCAATATTAGTTTAGAAGTAACTTAATAAACAGCAATAAATTTTTATTATAAAGAAATAGTTCCTAAGATCGAGATAAATATGTACTTGAAGAGTTACAGGGCTTTACATCTGTATATTTGTTTTTGCTTTCATTTGAACAGATGTCTTCATTTTCAGAAATAAATCTTTTATTTGTCCAATTTCATTTTTCTTTTACTTCATATATGTGAAAAACAACCTTTTGGCAGACATATATTATCTGATTTTACCAAGCTGAAGTTTGGTACTTGTTTACAGTATTAGGGAAGAAAATTATGTCAATAGTGTTATTGCCTGTATTTTCTTATCAAAGAAACTTGTAATGAATTGATCGTGTTTTGATTCATGCATGTAGTGTAATCAACTGGTTGACTTTAAGCCAATATGTATGAGATGTATGGTATTTTGATAAATTTTATGATGAGTGTCACTGTAAACAATTCATTTTTACTTATTCTGTAACTTAAAAATAAATTTCATTATGGAATTTGTGGTGTGAGAGATGAAAGTGGCTATGAAATTCAAAGATAATTATTACATTTCTAAAGTTAAAAATTAAGTCCTTAAAATTGGCCAAATTGAAGTTTACCTAAAGTTTTGGAACTAAATTTGGGTATCATTATTTGTTTATCAGGTCAGTTGAGCAAAAAAGTTAATTTAAGTATCACTGTGTCTAATTAATATTCTGATTTACTGCAAAAGCTGTGTCTCATAAAGTAGACAGCAAATAAGAGGAAATGAGATTGACATATTTACATCGTTTTCAAAAGCACACAGTTATTATAAAACTTATATGTTATTATATATTATTAAACTTGTATATTATATGTTATTTTAAAAGCATACAGTTATTATAAAACGTATATATATTATAAAACTTATACACAGTTATTATAAAACTGATATGTGTAATAGGGATAAATTGTTCACATTCTGTGATCATATATTTTATTTAATAATAATATACCCATGATTCTTCAGAATTCAAAATAGTAGAATATATGCTACTCTGTTTATGTTCAACACATAGAAACTAGTGAAAACGACTTGTTTATACTCTATATATGTATAGGCTGCTGTTTGGTGTTATATGCTAAAATAACTCTGAAAGTATCTGTTTTTCATAAGTATAATATTTTATATAAGTCTAGCTTATATAAAATATATCTTGGAAAGATGTGTATAGCTTTAATTTTTTTCATTGATTCATAAAGCAGTTTTGCAAAAATGTTTATATACATATGTTATCTTTTGCTGAGGTGTAACTAAGCTTTATAGATATTAAAATTCAATATGGAAAGGTTTAAATACTTTTTTGTGAAATTGATTTTAGAATATTCATTAATTTTTCTCACTTGATTCTGTTATAAACATAATGTAAAATGATAATCTTTGAATTAATTAGTTATTAATTTTATTCAAGGTATGAAAATATTCCAGATGAATGGACGCCACCAACCCCACAACCGTATGTAGATCATGTAAGACAAACATTTTATTAATAGTGGAAATTGGTTTATCAAGCAATAATTATTTTGTTGTTTTTGATTAATTTAATAATTGTGATTAATTTAATAACTTTAATTAATTTAATAACTGTGAAACAGATCTAAAATCAAATAGCTTCTAATTCTTTAAAAGTATTTTTGCTTTATATAATTTGTAAATTTTTTTGCAAAAAAAAAAAAAAAAAAAAAAAAAAAAAGTGTTTTATTTTTTTTCCTATCATAAGCATATCCTTTTAACTTATACCATGTGGTATTTTAATAATGAAAATGTAATACAGGGCTCATACGGTCCTTAAGAGTTCTTAGATTAGTCCTTAAGTCCTTAGATTTTCTGGAATCGATTTTTGGTCCTTAAAAGTCCTTAATTTTGGCCCAAATCAGCAGAAGGTCCTTAATTTTAGTTATCTGAAATTTCTGTCTGTTTTTACGACTGCCATTTTGAGTGTGAATTAGCATTTTAGAGGAATATTTTTGGCGATTCACTGCCGTATATATGGTTATCTTTTATGGGTTCATGAGTTATAATTTGTTTCTATTTCTAATATAAATGATGGGATACCCGAGTTTCTAAGCAAGAAGTGAAACATAAGCATTTCGAAATTCATTTTTTCTAATAAAGAGCTTTTAAAGATGTGAATTCTTTTATTAAACAGTTCTAAATTTGGAGAATTTTCAATGTTTTGGCATTTTTAAGATTAGTTTCTATAAAAACTTTTTAATTCCAAAATCTGAGAATGTTTCGACCATTTTTTTTTAAAAACATCGTAACATTGATAAATTTCATTAAAATAATGGTAATATATTGAAATTATATTTCAAAGATAACATTAAAATAAAACATTTTTATTTTTCTTTGTCATATTTTAAAGTTTCATTTTGGCAACTAATTATACAATATTTTTTTACAATATTCACTTTATCTGAAAAATAAACAAGGGATAATGCTATAAAGCACAATTTACGAAACAGCTCTTAGCAGAAGCAAAATTAGCTATGTAATTAATTAAAAATGTCTTGTTTTTAATTTTTTCATAGTAACAGTTTTTCCCATGTAATTGTTTCAGAATATTCAAAATTCTCAGAATGTGCATCAGTTTTCTCTATAAAATTAATTTTATACTTTTTCTCTCTCCCCCCTTTTTTTTGTCCAAAATATTTCTGACTTTTTGCTGTTACAGAAATGGTTGGGATAATTTTTCTTTAGGATTTTAGACATTGCAGCTTGGAAAGTTTAGAAGGATTTGAAGGCAAGATTTTTAGACCCACGATTCTAGAAGATTTGAGAAATATGACAAAATGAAAAATGTCTGCATGGTATCAAGTCGTAATGGATGTATTTTACAGAAAGTTTGCAATGAATTTCCTACTTTTTGGAGAACGTCTGGAAGAACAATGAAAACATAATATTTGAATGTTTTACTTCTGATACTAGAATCTTAAATCTTCTCTATTTTCTCTGCTTTTCACTAGATACAAGCATGGAAAAGATCAAGAACGCTTCTAATCTTATCACATGGGCAGGCATGTGATAAGATAAGAAGGGGATTTTTTTATTAATAAAGAAATTGAAAACTTACAATTTAAAAGATTCATCTAATATTTCTTAATGCATCATACACATAGCTGGCACTAGGCATTTCCCCACCTGATACAATGTCTGTGGATCGTAAATTCTGCTGCCCAGTGCCTTTCTAAATTCTGCATCCAGTGCCTCCTCTAAATTCTAAAAGTTTTGCCATTTCTTGATTTTGTTGTTTGGTGTGTCACCACATTAGCTCTGTAACCGGCCATTACTATATATATTTTATATTTCTTCTGAATGTTCGTATTACTAAAGAAATTAGATGCTTTTTCTGTACATTCTAAATGCATTTAGTGTTTTTTAGAATAACAGAAACCCTTAATTAAATCCAAAAGTTCTAAAATGAAAAGGAAACTTGTTGAAGAAAGAAAGTGAATACATAAAGAAAATTATTCTTCAAAGATATGTGCACTTATTATATTATGTAAATTACCCAATTGTTTATGATTTCAGCCTTTACTATAATTTCCCATTTCTATTTCCTCATATGATAGATTTATTGAGCCAGATTAAATTTAAATTAAATTGTATAATCTTTGTATAATATAGTCCACATTATTAGTTTGAATATGACTGTTAAGACACAATAACACGCCGAATAAATACTCTTGTTGACTTGACTGTTCTTGTTTAATGAAGTCACCGTGAGCTGTAATTGATTTTGTTAGCATCAGAGCATGCCTTTATGTTATGTTCTAATTTCTTTTTAAATAAGAGACTTATTTAAACCTTTGTCTGATAGTGTAGTTAATTTCAGACATAGCAATAATATGCTTCACATCTGTCAGGGGTTTTACGCACAAATCTCAAATTGTTAGAAAAGATGATTAAAGAGAAGGAAATCAATATAAACTAGCCAAAATGTCTGGGAAGGCTTCAAATTAACTTTGTGCTCGAGGCGCTTTTCTGTTGGGTGAACCGGCAACTCGAGAGTAATCAGCCACTCCCGCTTATATCATGAGTTCCTTATTGTTAACTTAAAATAATTTTAGGCACAATAAAACACTTTAATTTCATATATTTTAACATTATACATATTTTTTTAACTTAATGAAACATATGTATTAAACATTATGTTCTAAAATTTTGCTTCGTATGATATTTTACAAAACAATCTCCAATATGCATCCTTGGCTTGTCGGGGCATGTGTCACGGTAGTATACAGTTGGGTCGCCTTTGGGATGTTCTTTGGGAGCAAACCTTGCAATCTTTTTTTTGCCCCATCAAAATAATATGCAGCTTCCCATTTAGTCAGATCGCTTCAGAAATGCTGTGGGAAGTAGAAGCTGTGCTGGGTTGTTTTTGGTCGAAAGTTTCCTCTCAGTTGATCCACTAAAGTTTTCAAATATTGTAGGTGACTAAGCGGCCGTTCGTTTCTCTGCTTCTTTACTGATTTATAAAGAATGTATGAATTGATGGAGCAGATCTCCAAACCCCCCAAAAAATAGTTTTTGCCACCATTTTACAGATTTTCTTAAAAAAACAATATGTCGAAGCCAGTTGGTCAGCTCGATCAACACCGCTCATAAATTTGATGTAATTTACAATAACATTTCATTGGATTGTACGTAATGAATGATATGCGGCCTTTGAGTCGACTCATCCACACAAATCTGCTCTCCGGGTACAAAATAATTCAAGAACCTTTCATTTATATACTCGAGAAAACCAGATACTAACTGCAAATGGGTTCTAGGGTTTGTGTTTTCTGAGGGTATTGTCTTGAGGGGAAGTCTCCAAAATATTTGACAAAATCGGTCTCTCGTAAACGTGTCTGAGTAAAACGGAATATAACTAGTATCATTTTTCGACCAGTGTTCTTGTATGTTTGCCAGTGACATTTTTCCCATATTTATGCTTGCCCCAATAAACGTCCAGAATTCGGTAACTGTTACATCATACCATGATCGCCATATAGAACGGGATGATAAGGTTTTCCCTTCCACCTTCCTTGCAGCGTTATTGTTAGTTTCCTGCCTGCACTATGTCAGTAACTAATTCCTCGGTGAAAAATAATTTGAAAAAAAATCTATTGGTTCTTTTATGTGTGCAAATACGTGCGGTCCTACTTGTCTTTCACCGAATACAAACGGTATTATTCTGGGGATTTCTTCGGATTCTGTGCACACTGTCCATTCTGAAGGTTCAGTCTCTTCTGTACAATCACTTTGGCTTCCAGATTCACTATCGATTATTTGGATTTTTCGTCTTCTTGCTCCTCTAACGTCATCACTATCTTTATCACTTCCGTTTTCGTTCTCATGGGCAAACTGTCTATGTAGTGATGTAATTTCATTTGTTATTGCCGGAAAATTAAACTCATCTTTGCTAGAAGTAACTTCTTCGTCGTGTTTCATACTTATTGGGCTCAGTAACTTTGAAAGAAATACTGCGATCGGCAAGAAGGTTGAGTTTGAACTGATGTCGAAGACAGAGTCGTACCCATGGTCGCAAGTATTTATATTCCTTAGGTCAAACACAATTAAACACATCGATTTGAATGGTGTCTCTCAGGCACCACTCGAGTTATCGCATCACATGCCGTGATGCTTGAGAGGCACTGCTCGAATGCAAAGGGTTAAAATGATGGATAAATATTTTGTTGAGTGTTGTTGTTACAAAACGTAAATGTTTTGTAGATTTTAATGTGTAATTATAATATCATTTAAGAATCTGTGTCATAAATTACGTGTATTTTAAACTGTGAAATTTTATTAGATTTTGATTTTTAATAGGGCTTTTTTAACAAATATTATTAAAATGTAAAATTTAATAGTGGTCATGTAAATCCATAATGACTAAGGTTATCAAACTACCTAATTTAATTATTTATAACTAACTGCTTACCCTTAAAAATTATCTCTACATATTAAAGCGAGTTATTGCCTTTCATTAATACTCACAGTGGTCACAAGATAAAATATAAAAATGTAAAAATTCAAGTAAAACCTATTCTTTGCATCTACTGAGACTTAAAACAAAATAACTTATCACCTCTGGTGTTTTAATTGCTTATTGGAACCTTAAAGTATATTAACTGGGTTACAACCCCTGGAACTGTACACGAAGCTATGACACTAACTGCATCAAACAGAGCCTGACTAACTTTCAACACTTGGCAGCAGTGCCTGAATCAGGCCTTTCAGGTTTGTTCTAATCAGCAGGTATCTCTCTAGACAAGTAGCAGCAGTGACAACATTCAGTCTTTTGTTATGAATCATGCTGATTATGATCTTATTTCTCATTTTAATGCATGCCGTTTGACATAAAATCTACGTGCTATTTACTCTAGACTGACCAAGTGTGTGACAAAATGAGACATAAAAAAAACATAAAGCTGACTGTAACGTAAATATCACTTATCTTCTTTCAAATATGACCAAGTATTAT